AAAAAAAGTCATGTTTATGGGCTTTAGCAAAGGCATGAATGACTATAGGTTATGGTGTCCATAAACAAGTAAGATTGTTAATAGTCGAGATGTGACATTCGATGAGTCTGGAATGTTTTTGCAGGAAATTGAAATTAATGACGAGGCATTGAAGCAGGTGGAGAAGGTGGTGTTCTCTCCTGATATGGTTGCTCCTACTGAAGATCTATTGATTAGGTAGATAATAACTCTGATGTCTTAGAACAGGAGGAGCAAAGCCTTGTAAATGAAAGAGTGGAGGAACATGAATCCATCGCCAAGAATAGACCACGAAGGAAAATTCGAAAACCTGCAAGGTTTGATGATATGATAGCATATGCTTTCCCTTTGATTGATGAAGTTCCCAAAAACTACAAAGATGTTATCCAGAGCCCGGATAGATTGCACTGGCAAGAGGATATGAATCAGGAGATAGCATCATTGGAGATAAATCAAACTTGGGATTTGGTACAACTTCCAAAAGGTAAGAAGGAAATTGGTTGTAAATGGGTTTTTGCAAAAAAGGAAGATTCTTTTGGTATACGTTATAAGGCTCGACTTGTGGCTAAAGGCTATGCGCAATAAGAAGGTATTGATTACAATGAAATTTTCTCACCTGTGGTAAAACATTCTTCCATTCGAATTTTGTTGGCTTTGGTTGCTCAATTTGATCTTGAGCTTGTACAACTCGATGTAAAAATTGTCTTTTTGCATGGAGATTTGGAAGAAGAAATATATATGGCGAGAGCAACATTTGGTATGCAGATTGAAGAAATCTTTGTATGGACTGAAGTAATCTCCTCGCCAATGGTATAAAAAGTTTGATCATTTCATGGTAGGACATAAGTATACTCATAGTCAATTTGATCATTGTGTGTATTATCGGTGTTTTGATGATGGATCGTTTATCTATTTGCTCTTATATGTTGATGATATGCTAATTGCTTGAAAGAGGCCGGTGGAGATTGATAAGCTCAAAGATCAGCTTTTTAAAGCATTTGAAATGAAAGACTTGGGCAATGCAAAGAAAATACTTGGAATGAAGATAGAGTGAGATTGGAAAAAAGGTACAGTCTGGTTGACTCAGTCTCAATATCTACGCAAGGTATTGACAAGATTTAGTTTGAATAATTCAACCAAACCTGTTGGTACTCCACTTGCTCCTCATTTCAAGCTTAGTGCTTTCATGTGTCCAAGTTCTAACGATGACAAAATGTATATGGAGAATATTCCTTATACAAATGTTGTTGGTGCTCTGATGTATGCTATGGTATGTACTCGACCTAATCTTTCACACGCAGTAAGCATGGTGAGTCGTTATATGCATAATCCTAGTAAAGAGCATTGACAGGCTGTCAAATGGATTCTTAGGTACATTCTTGGTACTATTAACGTTGGTATTAAGTTTCAAAAACAAGAAATGTTTAATCTTGACAACCTTGTAGTTGGTTATGTGGATTCTGATTATGCTGGTGATTTGGATAAACGACGATCTACTATGGGTTATTTATTTACTATGGCTGGTGGACCTGTTTGTTGGCGCTTAACATGACAATCTACTGTTGCACTGTCTACCACCGAAGCAGAGTATATGGCAGTAACGGAAGCTTTTAAAGAAGCTATTTGGATGCATGGTTTGATCAATGACTTGGGTATTTTGCAGGAACATATAGATGTGTTTTATGATAGCTAGAGTGCTATTTGTTTGTCAAAAAATCAAGTCCATCATGCTCATTCTAAACATATTGATGTTCGTTTTCACTTTATTCGAGAAATTTTTAGTGAAGGGGACATTCATTTATTAAAAATTGGAACTGCTGATAACCCTGCTGATATGTTAACAAAGGTGATCGCTCGTGAAAGGTTCTGGCATTGTTTGAATTTCATCAACGTTGGAAGAAAGGAGTAGTGCGTTGATGTGGTAGCAACCAACTCAGTTATCAACTTGGACATTTTATGACAAGGTGGAGATTGTTGTAAATTGTCATAAGTTTTGATTTGGTTTTGTTTGGATTAGATTAGATTTGATTTGGTTATTTGAATTAGATGTAGTGTTAGTGATATGGGAGATTTGATTCTGTAATGCTATATAATGATAGATTTCTCCCTCCATTCCATACCGGGGGTATCGGAATTTGGAAGAGTTTTGGGTGTCACATTGTATTTGTTGAGTGACATGTTGGTGAGAGTCTTTGCAGTGTGATAGTGAGTTATTCACTTGTAACGCGTTGGTTTATTAGTGATTGGTTGCTACCTGTGGATGTAGGGAAACTTCTTCTCTCCGAATCACGTAAATATCTTGGTGTCTCTGTATAATTCGGTTCATTGGTGTTGTGAATACATTTGTTCCGGTTGTAGCGCTAAACAAGGACTACATAAAATTATTTGAGAACAAAATTGTAACCTTACCAATTAAACCCTCACTTGTTTGTGTATTCAAAATTTCCATTTTTCTATTTTTAGAAAAAGAAGTTTGGAGAGAATTTGGTATGCCATTTTGGAATTGAGTGAGTTTCTATGAAATATGAAAGTTCCCAATTTTTTTTTTGTTAATTGAACTCTAGATGGATGGATATTTTAGGACACCTTATGATCATTTGCACCCCTTGGCCACACTATACTTCAAAATGTACCTAAGAGGGAGGTATGGTGTCAATTCTCCACCACCCCTAGGTCCCGTGGCCGATGGGAGCTACCCCATGGCATATTCATGGGTCACAATGAAGGTGAACGTTCCTAGACGAGTGTCTCAGCTCACTTCCTTTCAAGTTGGTATTTCCAGAATAGTATCAAACGACACAAATGTGTCAACATTTCATCCTCGCCCATGTTTTAGAGATTTGATTATGCGTCTGCTATCTAAACATGGACACATGAGGGTTCAATAACTCGATACAACCTAGATAGATGGATGTTAGAGATGTTCTGATGCTATAAATTACACATTGGCCTACTCTCGATGAGCATGACTAAGTAAACTTTGATGATTGATTACATCCTGGGACTTGGTATGCCATCAAGACATGATAGTCGTGTTAATTGGGAACAAAAATAATGAGATGAGATGTGATGTTGTATTGAAAGACCTTGGCCCTAAGTAGAGGTAAGGTCGAGCCCGATGACTTGGCCTAATATAGAGGCAAGTTGGTTAAGTCATAGATGATTTAACATACACACATAGGTAGCATGTGTGGCCTAACAAACTTGAATTTTAAATAAGTTTTGTTCAGTTGGAAAAAATTGGGCTCGCCTAAGATCTGATGAAGCCACACATAAAAGCAAAAAATACACATGAATTTTCTATTCTCCCATGAATATGTCAAAGACACATATAAGGTCATGACATTGTAGGGTTGAAAAAGTATGATTGTGACACTATGAAACCAACCTAAATCGTTACTCTTTTTAGTTTTAGTTTGTATTTTTAATTATCTCCAATTTTAATTTTCAAATGTAAATTTGAAGGAGATGAACTTGGTCAACGTCTGTGGCCGAGCGGAGCAAACGGAGAAATCCAAGAAGGGCTCGCATCTGATTAGCTAATTGGTGAGACAATAGTTTATCAAGACGATGATCAATAGCTGGTCTAAGAGAATGATCAAGGAGACACGACCCAGACTCCTATGGGAGGGAATCTTCTGCAATGGGTGCCTGATGGAGTAATGCCGCGTGGAGGTAGAAGGCCTACAAGTCGTGAACTTCTTTTCTCGAAGAAGAAGCAATGATAATATCTAGGCTAAATAATATTGTTAGAGAACAAAATCCAAACCTTATAAAGTTACAACCATCACTTTTTGACTGTAGTTGAATTCGACACAAAATTCTGTGTTGGAACTTTGACGGATGAAAAAAAACAATAGCTTCACTATTTGTTAATAACAAATATAAGGTGTGACTTAAAAATCAAAAGAAGGAAGTTTTTTAAATTTTATGCATATCGAACATTTTGAGAATTTTAGAAAATAATGTGAATGAATAGTAACTTCATTTTTTTAGTATCTTTAAAATATTTTTTTATTATTATTATTTTAAAGACTCTAATATATTGATTATTTTGTTAGGACTAACATTTAGTTCTAACTTTAGAATCGCGTTTTTTGTGTCTTCAGCGACATAGCGCCAGGTACTCAAACATTGATTCAAGGTATTTTCTTTGCCCTCTTACCCTGAAAAAACAAGGGTACCTTGCACCCTTGAACCGATAACCATCTTTCGACTAACCTAGCCTACTCCGTCCCTCGGGACCAACAAGGGATAGTATAGGAATATTCATTTATGTGCATCGACTATGCCTTTCGGCCTGATCTTAGGCCCTAATTCACCTTAAACCCTTAGGTTTTCGGGGGATTAGATTCTCACCAATGTTCGGGGGATTGGATTTTCACCAATGTTTAATCAAGTCACCATTCTTGCTTCCACTTCGTCCACCATTGCTTACACCAGTGCTTCTCAGGGATTAAATATTAAAAATATGATTCTTTAATTAAAATATAAAATTAAATATGGGAAAAAAATATAGGAAAATCATTCCGTTTAAGAAAAAAAAACCAATGTTTGCTTTACTCATCGAGTGCTTCCCTCTAAAGGAGATTAAATATTAAAAATATCATTCTTTAATTTCTTTAATTAAAATAAAAAAATTAAATATGAGAAAAAAATTTGGGAAAATCGTTCCATTTAAAAAAATATATAAATAATAAATTTGTCTACAGTGATTCAGAAAAATATATAAATAATAAATTTGTCTTTGCTTTGTTAATAGACAAATAAACCTCCATGCATAACAATGCTACTCTCACAATTGTGTGGTTTGAGTAATGCTTCTAACTGATGAACCCTCCAGAGATAGAGATTCAGTTTGTCTACAATAGAGTGATTTAGCTGGGTTTAAATTTAGTTTGTCTACAATAGAGTGATTTAGCTTGGTTTAAATTTTGCTTTGTTAATAGCAAAAGAAACCTCCATGCATAATAATGCTACTCTCACGATTGTGTGTTACTTGCAATTGGTGCAATGGTTGGGGTTTGAGTAACGCTTCCAACTGATGAACCCTCTGGAGATAGAGCAATGCTTCCAACTGTGGAACTCTTCGGGGATAGAGCAATGCTTCCAACTGTGGAACCCTCGGGGGTTAGAGCAATGCTTCCAACTGTGGAACCCTCGGGGGTTAGAGCAATGCTTCCAACTGTGGAACCCTCGGGGGTTAGAGCAATGCTTCCAACTGTGGAACCCTCGGGGGTTAGAGCAATGCTTCCAACTGTGGAACCCTCGGGGGCTAGAGCAATGCTTCCAACTGTAGAACCCTCGGGGGCTAGAGCAATGCTTCCAACTGTTGAACCCTCGGGGGCTAGAGCAATGCTTCCAACTGTAGAACCCTCGGGGGCTAGAGCAATGCTTCCAACTGTAGAACCCTCGGGGGCTAGAGCAATGCTTCCAACTGTAGAACCCTCGGGGGTTAGAGCAATGCTTCCAACTGTAGAACCCTCGGGGGTTAGAGCAATGCTTCCAACTGTGGAACCCTCGGGGGTTAGAGCAATGCTTCCAACTGTGGAACCCTCGGGGGTTAGAGCAATGCTTCCAACTGTGGAACCCTCGGGGGTTAGAGCAATGCTTCCAACTGTAGAACCCTCGGGGGTTAGAGCAATGCTTCCAACTGTAGAACCCTCGGGGGTTAGAGCAATGCTTCCAACTTTAGAACCCTCAGGGGTTAGAGCAATCCTTTCAATTGATGCACCTACCGAGGTTAAAGCCTCTGGAGTTTGAGCGATGCTTCCAAACGGTGCAGACACTAAGACTTCTGTGCTACTTCCAATTGGTGTAGCTGCTGGGGCCTCTGTGTCATGTGATCCAAAAGCACGAAATGAAAATTGATGATCGAGATTTACGGCACCAGTGGCATCGCCAAAAGTGGCACCCACTTTCGCACAATATTGTAAAGCAATCACTAAGAACAGGGTGTGAAAGAGCTTGAATCCTTCACCCATGGCCATTGTGGAATGTCTTCAAGTTGTAGGGTTACAAGCTCGTTTCACAAATGATGAAGAGTAGCAATTACTAAGGTGTGGGTGCTCAATTTTTCTCATAATGTAAAACCCTATATATAGTTTGATTGAAAAACTATATTTAGAAATGACCACACAATTTAGAAAGGCTCTTAAATTTTGTTGGTTCGGAAGTATTCAAAGTATAGAATATTTGACTATTTAATTTCTAATTTTTCTCTCCCTTCATTTGAGAGTCATCAAGGATAATTATATTTTTAGATAAAAACATATCGTTACTAATCTCTCCTGCTTTTGATGTGAAATAAAGTGATATTTTATTTCATTTCATGAACTCAATATTATTTGATAATATGTACGAGATTTTCTGGCAGATGGATTGTACTTAGATTGAATTATTTGTCTCATTCATACCATCCATTTATACCATAAGAATTAAGGTTGCCACATCTATTTGTAGTTTTGAGATTATATTTGAGGCTATGAGAAATTACAACGTTATTCTCATTTCTAATTCTAAGACAATGAGATGATGAGAAACAATACTGTTGTGAAGTAGCTAATTTGCATATGTTAGATACCATGCCAAGTAGGTGAAACATGAACATGATAAAGGTTCGGGTAATGCACTAAACGACACTCTATTTTATGACCAGTGATTAATATCGTACGGTAGAATGTTGTGATCATGTAGGGATGATTAGGAGATTTGTTATGAGTATTTGCATGATCAGGCCAGATTATACGATCACTTCCTCACATTTGACCCGAGAACTACATGAACGTCACCATCATAATGTGCATGAAAGCCTATTTTTCCTCCACACTGATGACGGGGAGTTAATATGTATAGGGCAATCTAACTAGATTAGCTTATGTTCCACAAGTATATCATTGGTGGAAACCCGTAGAGGATCTCTAACATATATACACATTAGTTAACAAACATGAGGATTGACTTATTATGAATTTATCAACTAATCCGTAGCAGCGAACTAGTTAGATCAAGAACGAAGTCACAAGAATATCATTGGTGGAAGTCAGTAGAGGATCTCTAACATGGATACACATTAGTTGACAAACATGAGGATTGACCTGTTACGAATTTATCAACTAATCCGTAGAAATGAACTAGTTGAATCAAGAACGAAGTCCCACATCATATATTATGATACATTGGTTTTATGACACAAAAATTAGTTAAAAGCCAACTAATTCATTATAGCATCAGGTACCAAACTCTGATGAATAGATCCACTACCGTGAGTTAAGTGATATGATATCACGCCCAAATAAAAGTCTTGATTGGGTTAGACCATGAAAGCTAAACCAAGTAAAAATAAAATAATGAAGCCTAAATAAGTTTAGAACATAAGAAACTATAAGTTTTTGTGTGCCAACAAAAGATTATTTAAGCTATCAAATAACTCCAGGAATGGTAAAATGATAATTATCTGATAGAATTTTTTTAGTTTAAAATAAATAAGATTTAAGAGATACAAGCAGGAAAAATAAAAATAAAAATAATTTATATTTATTACATCTAATGTAATGTTTAAGTTTTTAATATAAACGTCAATAGAATAGAAAATGACTAACAAATTGAAAAAAGATGACACAAGATAGAAGTGTCTCTAATTCGTAGGATCAACTCTATGGCACTGCTCTCGATCCAATCCCATCATCGATCAACTACTAATCCTATCTGACAAACTTGTAAAAAAGGAGTATAAGACTCAATAAGTAGCCTACTTATCGACTTTTAATCACGACATGATTGATGTTAAAGTACTATCTCTATGACTTGACCAAGAGCTTAACATAGTTTTTTTTATCATGAAGACCTTGGTCCTAAATCAATGGTCACGAGTCATGATACTCGTTTAATCCTTGTACCTAACCCTGTTATGTAGAAAAAATACTCCCTATAGAAGACCTAAAAAGGTTCATGAATCTAAACGTGTTATCCTTTAAAAAAAAAAAAGAAAGAAACATCAAACACGACGTCCTCCAAATAAAACATTGATAAGATATCTTGCAAGAAACACAAGTAGGGTAAACCTGCTAGAAACATGGACGCAATGCGCTACAAAAAATATGTGTAAGGCATCTGATCAAAGTGAGGAAACCATGTGATCATAATGCATATCATGGTAGTCTTAGTGAATTAGGACTTGAGTTGTGCTTTTTTGGGGACCAACCTATATTTCTTGGTTCTTGACCTTAGAGCGACATCTTGAGGCCATAAGTGTATTTTGGTCCCTTTCTACCCAAATCTCGGTTTATGATCTAAACTTCCTCCAATTACCTTCAAACTTTATAGTCTTTCATATCCTTATAATTAGGCCTAATATAGATTCTTAAGTCATTTGGAGTCCATCTAAGCAATAAAATATCTTAAAGACACGTAGAAGTATTTTTGTCATTATTCACCCATCTTTGTTTGGGTCCTAAACCGTTTTTTTGGTTACTTTAAAATGTTTTCTAATAATTCTTAACCTTAAAACTATGCTAAGTATAAGATGTTAAGTAATTTGAAGTTTATTTAGGACTTGAAATAACTTAAAGATATAGTAAGGCCATTTTGGTAATTTAACCCTTCTAATTTGTTTAGGCACTAAACATGCTACTACTCATTACTACTCATTGCTTGGGAAGGTATATAGAAAAAGGTGTAAATAATAAAAAATATAAGTGCAAGTATATACTATATGATATGAACCAAGACATTAATTAAGCGATATAAACTTAAGATGTGAAGAAAATGTTGTTTAAATTATTACAAGATATTGCAATTCATGCCATGTTAAACGAAGAATAAATATTAATTTGTTCTTAGATAGTAACAGATTTTGGGTGAATGATAATTTAGAGTTATTGTGTTTCTTTAATGTAATTAAGGATTATTTACATAGTGGCTAATTATGATCCTAAAATAAGAAAATTACCTCTATTAGAATGTCTCAAGGAAAGTGATTTTATTTTGAAGCTATATAAAATCATGTATGTTGCTTTTATAAACGAGACTCAAAAAATGTAGTAAAATTAACAATTTTCTTTTATTTAGTCAATCACTAAGTTTTTTTGCAATTCTATATAGTTTAGATTGAACGTTTATGTAACAATCCAAAATTTTCTACTTAATTTAAGGTCGCTACTGTATACGTGTCATAAACATTGAATGCAGAAGACTTCATTTAAATTCCATAAAACATAACCTTTATCATAAAACACAGTCATGGACTTACGTGTTTCGAAAACATCTTTAAAATGACACAACAAAAAGACTAAATAAAATGAATAAGAGTTTAAGTTAAAAACATCCTATTCTAGCCTAAGTCTAAGAAAATAAATACCACTATCCTATGCATGTGCCATGGTCTTGAGTTGCGATGTCGTCGTCAGCCGTACAGGAATGTCTTGCCTTAACTTGAAAAATGTAGTAGCACATGGTTTGAGTATTTAAAGAAATACTCAGTAAGTGACCCCACTATTGGGGTTAAATGCAACAATCACATGCAACGAGATGATGGGACCTATCTTTCGTTTCGTTTCATTTTCCCTGCGATGCTATCCTAACGGGTAAACTTTAGACGTGTACCATATACTCTACACACAGCCCATACGTGCGAGTACGGGCTCACCAGCTAGTTCGCACACCGCTGGGCCACTTTCCTTATCCGGTGGGCATACTCTAGGAGCCCGGAACCCGTTAGAACTAGTAACCATCACAGCAATGCTATGCAAAGCATAACGATCGTTGTCCTGCCAATAGATGTACGCGTCCGTACCCTCGTGATGGGTTAGGGGTATCCCCCCAAATGCATGAGCACACATAATGCATGAGGTCCCAAAGCTTTTCCTTTTTCATTATCCTTTAATACAACCCCGCTAGTATTATGTACATATCATATCCTTTTTCATATCCTTTCAGATATCGCTCATCATTCATAACATATCGTTTCTCATTTTTCAGTTCTCAAATCATACATAATTCTAACGGGGTTATATTTCATGTCATTTATCATAATTTCATGTCATTTATATTATGCTGTATACACACAATTTAAGAGACCTAAAATAACGTTCTATGCTTTTAACATAACATTTCATCATATACACATCATACCATGACATATTGCATCACAATGTATCATATCCGAAACAAGTCATAACGTAAACACTTCGTAGTCATATCGTTCTCTAACTTATCATAGCCTTAACGTTCTTATACCTATCACAGACATATCATTACGTGAACGTACCTTAGTCATATCATCACAAGAACTTAACGTAACGCTATTGTTCTATCCATCCTAACGCTATCGTTCTATCAATCTATCACAAACTTATCCCTTTCTACCCGTAACCTAACCGTATTCTTCCATCAATGTCTCTTATCCATATCACTCCGGTATGTAACCTAACCTTAACGTTTCATGAACGTATTTTATCCCTATCGTTACATTTCATTTTGTGTATCCTTCTTGTATCCTATCTCAAACATATCCTTGAACACATCGTACCGTAATTATTATCATACAATTCACATATTATAACATATACATAACATATGCTTTATTATAACATATACATAACATATAGGAAGCATATCGATCCACAAACAATTCACACATATCAATATATATGACACGTGCAAAACCACAGGGCACGTGTCAACATCAAATATAACCATGTCGATAGTAAGGTCACTTATCTGGTTAGCTTAGGCTGATGTTCCGTCATTATCCTTAATGAAAGTCCATTGAAATCCAAGTCAACCTATGTGAGCCCATGACATCAGTTTCAAATTTGAATTTCTACAAAATTGTTTCTCTAATTTATGTTGACCCATGTGTTATACTTCATGTGAACGTTAGAGTCTTGAACGTTAGAGTCTTTGCCTGAGTTAGGTCTTGAAATACTTATATTTGTTTGTTATAGTATTATTTTCATACAAACCATTTAATACTCATTAAAATTTTCTA